GACAAAAAATAGAGGCTCATTTTTAACCTGTACAAGTAAAATCGCGTAACTAACGAACTTAGCAGCTTTTAATTAGTAATAATGATCAATTTTGGCCAATTTCTCTTCCGTTTTTAAATGGGAGTTGGTTCACCTTACAGTCTCACCATGGCGTGGCGTAGCTCACTTTGGTAATGACAATGGTACCAACTGATTACGATATTAAAATAATAAAATGCAACTAACATCACATTCAAGCATTTTTTCGCAAACCTTACAATCGCGTACAATAATTATTGCCCAAAATCGATGCGAGAAAACATAACAAAAAAAAACTAAATAAGAGTTAAAGAATAACTCAATGACCGCGTTTGTTTATCCATATCAGATGTATCCGAGATGTGAATAGTTGACCACGTGACTCAAGCTACGCAAATGTAGTTGGAGCAGATGTGTCCGATGTGAATAAACAAACGCTCTAGGGGTAAAAAATTAATTGAATGTGGATATTCAAACGTAGCATATTATATATTTCGAGGTAAAAATTAGTCGAGGGCTCTCGATAATTAATTCTTCATCCGGACTTCCTCAAAACAAACTTAGGGGATTGGAGGTCAGAACAGCAATCATGGTTTTAAAAGAGGTTAAACAAATTTATAAAACGAAATTTTTGTAACTTCTTCACGGCCACACAATTGAAAGGAACGAATGTGAAGCAGTCATTTTCGAAACAGGCTTAAAAGTCAGTAACACCAACCATTCCTGCTTGATGGATGTATATATGTTGATATCCAAAGAACGTGAAAAATTGCTTACCCCGTAGGGAAAAATCTGACTTTTAAGTAGGTTTCGACGATATTCTTTATGACTGCTTCACATTTATTTCCTCCCATTCTATGGTACGTGGAGTTTCTAAAATTTCTTATGAATACTTAGGACATTCGAAGGAAGAATAAACGCGGAACTAACAAACATGGCAAACAAATCAACCAGAATTATACTACTTCTTAAATAAAACAATACTAAGACAAAGATATTGATACGAACACAAAAATGAAAATTCACAACATACTTACAGTACCAACAAAAACTTATGCTAGCGAAAATTCGGTAAAAAAGATAAAGCATGAGACAAAAATAGATGCAATGGAAATAAAACATATTCCCTTCACTTAAATGTCCCAGAAGAGATAAATGCATTCTTTATTAACTCAGTGGAGAATTTAAATTGTCAAACAGATAAACAATGAATATTCCAGCCTTCATACTATCAAGGAAGCGTCGTAGGTCCAGTACTGTACTTGATTTACACTACAGACCTCTCGTCTACCAAAGAATCTCTTGTGGCAACTTATGCAGTTGACACAGCAATCCTGGCATCTCACACTAACCCCAAAACAGCGTCAAACAATTTGCAGACTAACCTCGACAAAATACAAAACTGGCTCAAAAAAATGGAGGATTAAGGCAAATGAAACCAAATATGCACACATAACCTTCTCTCTCGAAGAGAAACATGTCCTCCAGTCAAAGTCAACAATTGCAAACTTTTTCAAACAGAAAACGTAAAATATCTTGGCATACATCTTGATAAAAGGCTTACCTGGAAAACACACATCTTCATAAAGCAAAAACAGTTGGGCATTAAATTTAGCAAAATGTACTGGATTATAGGGCGCAAATCCCAGTTATCATTGGAAAACAAGATCTTGTTATACAAAGTTATTCTTAAACCCGTCTGAACTTATGGAATCTAACTGTCAGCAACAGCAATAGAGACATTTTACAAAGGTTTGAGAACAAGGTTATCCGTTGCATCGTCAATGCATCCCCTTAGCATCTAGCATCAGTGAAAAAAGTGACTACTCAGTTCAGTGACAATTATCGTGCATTCCAATGCTCTAGCCAACAGAGTTTTTGAACATTCAGGCGAACCAAGTCGGCTCAAGAGGTTTACACCATCAGAACTAATACGACAGATTTAAATAGGTTTTAGTGTTCTAGTAATTAAGTACTTAGTTCAAGATTATTTTAGGTAGAAGGTTCAATAGAGCCAATCTACATGAGTCATTAACTGTTAAAACAGTAACTTAATGTTTTAGGACAGATTGCTACAAAAGAGGGCTAAAAAAATTAAAAAATAATAAAATATTACTAAAACATAAAGATATTGATACAGTCACAAAAATTAAAATTCACAACATAATTACAGTACCAACGACATTATGCTTGCGAAAACTGGGTATTATAAAAAAATATGAGACAAAAATTGATGCAATGGAAATAAAACATTTGAAAAAATAGCAAGAAAAACTAAATTGGACAGAGTAACGAATGAAGATAAAATTCCGCCTCACTTAAATGACCCAGAAGAGATAAATGCATTATTTATTAACTCAGTGGAGAATTTAAATGTCAAACAGACCTTGCTTTAGTCCAACACTATTCTGGATCTAGAATTTCTAATCAAATTTAGTCCAGCCTACAAGTTGTTTCGAGAAACCATGTATAACAGGCGTTTACCCTGGACTCCAATACTATTGAGATTATCTTGTCATCTGTTTCAACTTCTACCTTAAAAGAATATATGGTGGGGTTAAAACTTTGATAGACATTTTGTATGTCAGAAAGAACAGACCCATTCACTGGTGATATTTAAAAAGATGTTTTAAATTTCTTTCTAGGATGATTCCAGGAGGGTTTAACACATACGGGTCATATAATAACTATAGGTCAGCACTTTTTTAATTTTGCCACTGGACATTGTTGTGGACTTTAGGGTTAAAAGATTTGTTTAAAGACTAAATTTGTAGAAGCAATTGCAAGTATAAAATCAAACTCTGCACGTTCCGATGGTATCACACTTAAGGCCGATTCTCACTAGGCGCTCAGGTCACTCAAGATCCGCTCACAATCAAGGATTGAGGTAGTATTCAGATATTACACTCAACTGACACTCATGTTAATATTTTTAATCAATTTTATGAAAAGAATCGACACAGTGCTGGTCCAATATTACATAGTTCTAAGCAACTCAATGCTGAAAATGAGAAAAACTAGTTTTAAATACTTTCCTTTAGCATTGAAGATATGGTAATATTTTTTCAAAACCTTTTTGATTCCCCTTCATTCTGTTGGGTGAAAAAAGAAAGTTAACACAGAAAAAGAATAATTATTTACCAAAAAAATATATTTTTCGATTAAAAAAAATATTATTCTTAAACTAAAGTTTTAACATCCTTGAAAAAAAGAAAATGCATTTTTAACTTAACTAAAAACATAAAATACAAAAAAGATTATTTTTTTATGTTTTAATGTTTTAACATACAACTTTGTTGTCCGGTCAATTAATAATATTCATTAAATAGGGTTCTATGTATAAACATACACCTTTGGAATACCAAACATGTAACGAAAATGACTTACACCCTTGTATTAATCCTATTTGTATTCGTTGTAATAGTGAAAAAATGGCAAACTAGATTCTTTTTCTGTATCTGTAACGTGTGGAGGGTGGGTTACCCCCCTCACGGCACTTAGGCCTCAATAGGCACTTTGTGCATCCTCCTAAGATGATAGGAACCTCCTAGCTCGTGAGCCAGCCTACAGATTTAATGTAGTTGACAACGTCGCCAACAGGAGCTTCTCTTATATCGGCCGGTGTTAGCCGATACTCGCCGAACACAAATCTCCTAATAAATGAGAGCGTCGAGCAATCGTAGAGGATATGCTCGATGGTCTCATCTTCTTGTTCGCACCCTCTGCAGAGTGACGATTCTAACAGCCTCATGATATGGAGATAATTTCGTACTTGGCAATGACCAGTCAGCATGCCTGTGACTAGGTGTAGATTATATCTAGTCATAGTCAAGTATTTGTTTGCTGCAGCGTTGTCAGGATAACTTAAAAGCTCCCTGGCAAATCTGCACTTTCTTGTTTCATCCAATCTTTCCTTGAATTTCACAAGAGAATGTTCTTTAAATAGGTCTGTCACTACCGATTTTGTCAGGCCAGGTCCAAAAAGTATTTGGTTTGCTGCTTTCTTGGCCAGTGAATCAGCACCTTTCGATGTGGTGTGACCTTTGAACCATCTTAAGGTGACCACGTTGTTGATGGATACTTTGGCCAAAGCTTCGTGACATTCTAGTACTAACCCTAAGTATATTCGTGGTCTGTTCAGGGTGAGTAGTACTTGTCTGCTATCTGTATAGACGAGCGTGTTCCTTCCAGGGACATTGTTTCTGGTGATTTCTTTTGCTACTATGAGCTCTGTTTGAACTACACTGGCACTATTGCTCAGAGCCCATTTTATGTTTAGGTATAAGGATCTAGAGTATATTCCACATCCTGAGCCTTATTTTGTTTTAGAACCGTCGGTGTAGATATGAATTGTATCTGCCACTTCCGGCTTAAACCAGATTCTATGTGTAGCCCAGATGACATAGTTTCTTGTAAGAGTACTAGGCCAATATTTTTAAATGTGAACATACATCCTAGTAATATTGGGCCAGCGACAGGCATGTGCAAGATGAACAAATTATTAATAATTGATTTAGCTGCAATTAGATGATGAAGAACAAGAACACAAAAACGTCGGATATTTTACGATATTTTAAGAAAACAAAATCGAAGGAGAATTTTTCACTATATATAAAGAAATGGATGGACCAGATCAGAAATGATAAGAGGAAAACTTTGATAGAGATGAAAACAACTGAATGGAGAAAATGGATCTAGGAAAAGAACGGATTCCAATCAGACGCATATAAGGCAGAAGAATACAAGGAAGAAAGTATTATAAATTTGTTCAACCTTCGCAAAAATCATGATTGCGTTTCTTTCGAAGAAGCCCTGATGATGGCTTTTAATTGCCGAACGCGCTCAATTAATTTTTAATTTTAACCTGGAAAATATATTAAGTTATTCTCCAACTTGGCACACTTTATAGAACGCTTTTCATTTTTCTACATTCCTTATACACACGTACTACTACAATCTAGAAAAAAAAACTGAACACTTACATTGGTATTTGCGCCCATCCCTCGAACCTCGAGTTGCTGTCCAACTCGTATTTTGGCGATACTCTAAGATACTGATCGTACAAGATTTTACCTCCGACGATACCGATACCGACGACTGTCAAAGCTGTCAACAGGAGGCAAAGAGTGGTTACTGTAGTAATCCGGTGGGTACCTCCTGCAGGGAAGACGAGGATTCGGGGCATACGACGTTGACCTTCAACATCTTCGGGTGCGGTCTGAAAACAAAAATTATTCTGTAAGTTGTCTATATTCTGTGAGACATATTGTTAACAAGTAATGCGTATTTCCCAAATCTAACTAGACATGTTATTTACGGAAAATATGCCATATTTTGTATCAATGTTTAATTTTTTTTTATACTCCTTTTCAGCGGCGGTTTCTCCATTGGTTCATTTGTGCAGTGAACATCCAGTTAATTTTTATAAAAAATATATTATTTTAAAATCATATAAAAATATAAATTCAATTTTAATATTTTTATTTTCATACATGTTAATCTCTATTTTTTTGTACGCCACTGCGCTGACTCACCGCGTCTTCAAAATGCCATAAGCACCAGAGTGACCAGTCGTTTTCGCAAATGTCTGTCGTTAAAAAGAGAGGTCAACAGATCCGTGAAACCAGGTGAAACAAACAATGTGACTGCTTAAAACCACGCTATTTTGTTCATCGTACAAAAACAAGGCGTGACGTCACAAAGTAGGGCGTGACATAAGAACCTTTCCAATCATTGAGATAAAATAAGTGTCATTTTTGCATTACATTTTTACGTCATATGTCAAACTCGAGCTAATCAGTTTTGGTGAGAATAAATGCCATTTTTTTAAAATAGCGTTAAAATAAAGTGATTTAAATGATGTAAAACATTTTCATTCAGTCAATCTTCAAATATAAAATTATTAACTCAAACTGCGTCCACTTGTCATATGGCAAAATAGTGTTTATGCCGTCTCTACTTCATTCTATCTTGATGTTTCTAATCAAGCTGTCAAACTCTAAAAATCCCCATAAGACAATTTTAATTGTTTATTTGAAAAATTGTGTTTAAATAAAACTGCGACTTTAATAAATCGGAAGTATGTGCATCAATTTAACGATTGTTACCGAAAAAAATTTCCAAGGTAAAACATTTTTTATTATTTTTGAGGTTATGTTGTAAGTTTATTTGCAAATTACGAGTGTAATTTATATTTTGTTTTTGTTCCAGTTTCTACAGAATAGTCATATGTTTTATACCCAACTCTAAGCATTATGCATTGAACAAAAATTTTTTTTTTGTTTCCTACAAGAGACAATCGAAGTTTCAAAAATACAAAACAGCGTGAATGGATAAAAGTCCTGCATCACTTATAAATTAAAAATCAAGAATCAAATTTGTAAAACAGTAGTGTAAAGAGAAAATCCTAAATTATTACCCTGTGCTGAAGAGTGTAGTACTTTTAAATTTCAATATAAAGCCAAAATATGAATTAAAAATTATTCTTTTTTAAATTTTAAACAAACAAGATGTTAGTGTGTTGGAAATTTTTAACTTTACAAAAAAGTTTGATTATGAATTTCCAAGTGATGCAGAAACTTAAAAAGAATATATTTTTTTTGTAAAACTAATAAAAAAAATTCCATACGATTCTAATTTAACTAGACGTATTGTAGATAGGTAAGTATAAAGCATTTAGTAACGTTTAGCCAAATAATAAATTAAAATAAATAAAACACAAAGTCATATGTCAAAAAATAAGAGCGACCGTTTCCCCTTTATAACTGGATACTACAAGCAACCTTTGATTTTGTTTACTAGGAACAGATGGAGACACCATTTTTACTACTTGCATTCCAACCGGTCCAAGAATGACGTTCTCCTCAGTAAACAAAATTGAGGGTAGTGTTGAAATTTAATTTAATTTCTATTTCTGCTGCTTTTCCTTTGAATGTAATTTAATACCTGTTGTTTCAGTGTTGCCAACCGGAGGGAAATTTCCCATTTAGCAGGAATTTTCAACACAAAGGGAAGGGAATTTTTACTCGACTCCAAATAGTGAAAAATGTATGATTTTAAAAATAAAAAAAATTTAAATTGTTAATTCTTTGATATATTTTTAAAGTTTTGTTAAAATATTTGATTTTTAGATTATGTTTTTTATGTAAGATCATTTTTCTTTTAATAAATATTTTTTTAAAAATATGTACATGCTTGTATTTCTGGTATAGAACGGTTTTTATTAATGGGAGGGAATTTTTTCATAAAAGTGGGAATTTTTAAGGTAAGTACAGGGAAAAGCTTACTTCAAGGTTGTTTTCCGAAGGAAAACGGTCGCTCTTATTTTGTGACATATGGCTTCGTGTTTTATTTATTTTATTTTACGTCTTGGTCACATATGAGTTGGAATTATTTTCCTTTTTTAAATAATAAATCATTGAGATTATAAAATTGTCAGTAATGTATATCCTTTATAATTATTCTATTCTATTATTCTATTTTAGGTTAGGGTAGACGCTTAAGGCTTGTGGACGTGAAGATTCGAGAATGATAGCAAATTCATATCAAAATTATCGGATGCAGCATTCATTTTGAGCCTAGTATGTTTCATAACCCTATGCAGAAGACAAAACTTTCTTTTGTATATTGTTATTATATATTAAAAGCTTTTGTTTTTATTTTTAAAAACGAAATATTAAATTATGTGTACATTTTTGTATACTTGTATTATTTCAAAACAAACATTTTCTTTTCCTGAATTACCAAGTCCATATAACTATTTTAATAAAAAACATTTCGTACCTACACTTATGTTTCGATAAGAGTTAACAGGAGCTGTAATTGCTAACAATTATCATGCAGTAGTGACTAAAACATATTCTAAGGGACACAGGAGGCTATAATATCCGCTGTTGTCATGCCAATTTTTATTTATTCTCATTTTGTTTACAAAATCATTTACTTTTCTTAAAAAAGCTAAAATAATTTAATCTATTTTATTGCAACTGAATCAAAAAATTTAAATCATCAGTTATATCAAATTTAACTAAATTAGATGTAATTTTACTAAATTAGATGTAATAATTTTCAATAAATTCCAAAACCTAATTATGTTAAGTTGGATGTGACAACAGTGCTTACACCGGCTTGCATTTCTACATTGTTTATTATAAGCGCAGAAGCGTTTACACCTGGCTTACACATATATATATATATATATATATATATATATATATATATATATATATATATATTTACGGTAACCATCCAAACCTGAACCAGAAGTAGTAACTTGGGTTAACAATCTTGAACCACCATCACAAACCTGAACCAGTATATTGGTTCAGGTTTGTTTTGCTGTGTTAAATTATTTAATACCCACTCTATCCTTAAATTGAAACTTGATTGTGATAGCTCCATATTAAAGGAATCTGCAAATTATGCTTTCAAATTTTCGCGCCTAACACATTGCCGGATATTCGCCCTTTTTTATTGGTTCAGGAATGTACGAAACTCCAATATGTAGTTCACCAGTTTGACGTCTGCGGCGCTTAGGTAGATATTTGCGGTATATAATTATATATACGTATTGAAAGTAATTCCGTATCATCATGAGCCAGTGAATATGGCAACATTGCGTATTTAAAAATATTTTATGTGATTTGTAACGGTGCAGTTGTTTTGTAAGAATCATTCGTCTTACTATATATGCGAAAAGCTTTTTTATTAATAATTTTAGGAAAAAAGTTATTTCTTATAAAAAGTCGAGCATGGTCCAAAACCTAAAATGCAACCATCAAATATCAAATTTGATCAGTTGTATACGAGATTTGTCAAAAATGAAGGTACTTCATTTTACAGCTAAATTCATATTATTTGATATATCTCTTTTAGTATTGTAAAAATTTCATAACTGACAGTTGCATTTTAGTTTTCAGACCATGTAGAACTTTTTATGAAGAAAAAACTTTTTTTCGTAAAGCTAATAATAAAAAAGTTTCCCATATCCTGCGAACTTAAGTGGACACACTGTATAAGCTTGAAATTTTGTAAATACCCGACTGTTAATTTCGACGTATTTGTATGTGTTTGGGGATTTACCGCCGCTGACTTGACATCAAAAATCAGAAAGTTGCGTATCTTACCAATTTCAAAAATAATATTTTTTTATTTCCAAATATTGTCCATATCTTAAAGTGGTCCAAAGTAGATTAAGAAAAATCAGAGAACCAGAGATCTTATTGGTTAATTTAGGTTGAATGCCTTGTTAAAAAGAATATAGTTTAATAGATTTTTATATTTGGACAACTTATCATACAGGGTGTTCAAAAATAAGGTTTAAAATGAGATTGAGAAAACTGTCAAAAGTCTTTTTTTATGGAAATCCCCATTTTTATCATTTTGTAGTATTTAGTATTAAAAATAACTTTATATAAGATTGTTTACAAGATAGTCGGCGGAAGTGTCCACTGTTATAATTTGGCGTCAAATATTTCAATAAAAATACTAACTGCTGTAGATATATCTATTTTAACACCATGTATGTTCTTTAATATTGAACTAAGGTAAATTGTGTTATATCGGAATACTTTTATAGAGTTGCTATGTATCCCATTATTAACGGACAACCCTGTAGACAACTTTATACAAGGTTACCTTTATTTTAGATGCTAAACACTACAAAATAAGAAAAATGAGTGGTTCCATTTGAAAAATCGATATTTGGCAGTTTTCTTAATCTCATTTTAAACCTTAAACCCAAGGAATCCAACCCGAAGTAAGTAGCTTCCTTATAGGACTTATTGATAATTATATTAGAACTTGCCAACGTCATTTTTGATATAAAAACTGGAATTGTAAAATCGCTTTGACTTAGGCATATGATATGATACATAAAACCTCCCTGGAATCTGAAGTAGAATTCAAAATTGTAATAATAATAGGATGCCCTATTTAAAATAAGCCACTTAAGGTCTATTTCCGGTCAACCGGAATTACTTAATAGGCCCCAAGACATCTAGCAAGTTTCCAGATTTCAATTTTTTCCTACATCCAGTTTCTGAGATATCAATCGATGCAGTTCTTGGTGATCCACCCTGTATATTCTAGTCCATGAGTATAAAATAAATTGTTTTTATTAGGTTATACTTTTCTGAATATGTCTTTAGTTCATGAGATATAACCATTGTAAGTTTTTAAATTGTCAGCCATATGTGGTATGATTCCAAAGAAAATTTT